CATGTGTCCGTGGATGTTGAAAGTTGTTTATTATCTAGTTTGCATCCTCTTTACTTTGTTTATTGAGTTATAGGATGTGTTGGGCAGGTTTGTAAAAGGTTGGTTGTGTTTGGGAGCCTAGTGTTGCTGCCCAGATTTTTGGACCTTCGCTCGAGCGAGGAGTTGGTCGCTCGAGCAAGAGTTGAGTTCGTGTCTGGTGGGTCGAGCCAGAGTGGCTTCGCTCGAGCAAGCGCTTGCTCCTGGTTCTGGACCTGAGAGTTGTGTTTCTTGGCTCGAGCGAGCTTTTCTTGGCTCGAGCGGGCTGGGTTGTTCTTCGCTCGAGCGGGAGGTCTGTCGCTCGAGCGTGCTTCTGGTTGCAGACCTGAGGGTTCGAGTTGTTGGCTCGAGCGAGAATTCTTTCGCTCGAGCGCACTTCTGAGTTCTTGGCTCGAGCAAGAGTTTTCTGTGTCTGGTCGCTCGAACGACAAAGGCTTCGCTCGAGCGAGCGTGTTTTATATCAGCGGACAGTAGCGTTTTGAAATTTTGACACACTTTTTTCACTTCTTTTTTCTTCTAAACCTAGATCCGAGACCCTCTCTCTCTAAACTTACACTCTCTCTATGAATTGATCTCCCTAGAGTGTGAATCTAACTAGGGCCTTTGTTAAAAAGATAGAGGGCGTTGAGAGCTTTGTTTTAATCTGAAAAAGTTGGATTTGAGAACACGTTGATCTTCGAGTCTTCATCTCCTTTTTGGCTTAAACTTCGAGGTAGGGATATCCTACTCCTCTCTATGGATTTTGTCTTTGAATTTTTGGTATTTTGAGATGTTGGGGTTGGTTTGGTAATTTTGTGAAAGTTTGGGACTTTTGTGTAATTTTACAAAAATTGGGTTTTTAATTCATAATAAACCTAGATGCATGTTTGGAATAGAGAAAATGGAATAATGTTAAGTCATTGATGAAAATGGGACCTAAGGTTGAAATGTTAATTATGGAATTGACCTAATTACATTGTTTAATTAATTAGGATAATTAATTGTAAGGAATGAGGAAATGAAATGTTGATTGAATATCCATTGTGCATTTATTTTCTGTATAGAAAATAACTGCTTTGGGCCTATCGGTAGAGGATAGTCGTGATTGTTGTAGACAATGCATGATGATTAGGCAAACGAAAACTAATCAATGGAATGTGTCATGGAATTTGAGCGTTGATAGAATACCAT